TCTCTCTCTCTCTCTCTCTCTCTCTCCCTCCCTCTCTCTTGTGCCAAGCCATAAAACGAACATTGACGCACCGATATGTGTGTCAAATTGCATTTCTAAACATGTCCCAGGTGCTGTTTTTATCTTAATTAAAGTATATTATTTTTAGTATTATATTGAGACAGTTGGGATCTAAGTCAATGCCTTAGAGCAGCGCTGTCGCCAACACAAAGGCTTAGGTTCGGATTTTGTTGCGTTTTATTGGTGGTGGTAGCCGTTTCTCATACTATTCTTGAGTTTGGCCAGTACATTGTATTTTTTGAGACCCCAAACCCACCGTTGGCAGGTTTTGTATCCTTCCCTCCTCCTCAAACGAAAAGAAGATTATTTACTTATTTGTACAAGTACTATGTGCTCATCTGGTTTGTCTTCCTTTCTTTTCTTTCCTAGTTATTGAGGTGTACATGATAGTTATTATTTTTAAAATTTTATTTATGATTTATTTGGAAGACATTTGCTTTGGTCACAGAACCATATAATCTAAACCGTTGAAATGGAGGCACTGATCTCCATTTTTAAATTTCATGTGGATTCAGTGAAGATGACGGGAATTTATTTGCGTTTATATCGTCTTAATGTTTTTATAGCTTCCAGCTTAATTGTGAATTTTCTAACTTAACTTTCGAGTACGTGGATCCATAGCAGTACCGTGAACTATCGTACTATTGCCCTAGTCCTACATACGTGTATATGTGTTGTCTGTGTTGCTTTGTGAGCGAGGCCTAGGCCCAACCAGTTTTCCAATTATGTCTTATCGTGTTTCTCTTGTGCCAAACACTATTATAACCTCTCATTGTGTTCCTTTATTCCGCTTATCCGTCTTGACTCTTGTCAAGAAAAACCATTTTGTACTTCCCGACTCTGTATATATTTTATGGGGCATACACAACCATCTACCGTAGAAGAGCCTTTTCAATATGTTTTGTGGGAGTGGGTCTTACGTGCTCTTTTCGCTGTTCCAAACGACTAATCAGAGTGACTGTTGAGCCCGGAAAAGCGCCTTCCTCTCCATGACAGTGCTGAAAGCAATGATAGGAGGGTGTCTCTTCGATAAGTCTCGATTCCCCCCCATCGAAGCCGATAAAGATCGATCTCTTTGTTTATACGCTTCATCGATCCGCCGGCCCTGGTGACGCTGGAATATTTACAATACTCCTTGAACAGATTTATGGCTGCCCGTGTAGTGCAGGGCATGGGCTGTTCTGTGTGCCGCTGTTTGCTGGACCGAAACACTCGAGAGAACAAGCTCCTCAACGGTCTCGAGAATCACTCGAATCGCGAAGAGAGACCCCTCTAAATAGAGCAGGAAAAATGTCGACGGCACCACTTTGACACACACAGTAGCAGATTAAGAGCATGCACTGACGTCAGTCGTGGAAATTAAATTTGAATCATGACGAATATTCCTTGATCTTCGGTTTTTAATCTCCCTATCGAATTGATTTCCCTGCCTTCGAAGGACTGCTTTATATTATAGGATTTCCGTGACAGATACGAACAAATCTGCTCTCAATCCCGGGGTGCCCCACGAATGGGGAATTAAAACCCTGGAGTGCGTTTTGAGGGGCTGAGGCGTTATTCATTGACGATCAATGTAGATCATGGTGTTAGGCGAGAGAAGCCGACACAGGGAAACAAACGGATCTTCGTGGCCATGAACGTTTCAAACGCTTTTCGGAAGAAAAAAAATGCTAATAAAAATTAAGTGCATTGATGCCCGGTTTTCTAATCGCTTGAGCCCTTTTTGTTCCGTCTTTTATTTGGATTAAAAAGACGAGTTGTACCCGAAAAGAAGAATACGAATGAACGAGTGGGGTGCAAAATCTCTCTCTCTCTCTCTCTCTCTCTCTCTCTCTCTCTCTCTCTCTCTCG